AGCTCTCTTTTATTTTGGGCTTATCTTTTGATTGCTGCTGCTGTGATGACATGTTGGAGAAGCGGAGATAGCCCATAAGCTCGGTATTTATGGTCTCGACTTAAGTAAATATATTTTGTGTGTATTCTCTTCGTCCCTAATACAGGAGATACTTTACTGTCATTATTTTTGAGAATTTATTGTTATTTGCTTCGCCGTAATACACAGTGTTTTGGAAAATTTGAGATGACACTCAAGAATTTGAATTGTCTACAAATTGCATTTGTGAATTATGTACGTATTGTACAGGATTATCCATTTGACAGTTTCGAAACTAAACGTATATGAAACGCATTTACAATAATTTTCGGCCTAATCGGCGTAGACAAGCGACTTCACATAACCCCACAAAAAATAGTCCAGCGGTGTTAAATTGCACGATTTTGAAGGTCGCACCACCGGCTCAAGACATAAGATTATGCCCTCACCAAAAGTTTCCATCGTTTCGGTGCATGTCGCACCGTGTTATTGTAGCCGAAGATTGCCCCATCAACATTCTCTAGTTGAGGTACAAAAAAGTCCTTAACCATAGATCCATAGCGTTTTCCGTTGACTGTAACAATAATAATCTCTATGATTCCCTCTGTCCACAAATTACACCTCACAGCGACATTTTGAGTTACGGCGTCTCAATAATGGCTTGTGGATTATCATCCCATAAACTGCGAAAATTTTGTGTTTCAATGTGCCCAGTTGACCAAGAGAGCTTCATCGGTTTACAAAATTTTATTGTAAAAATCTGAATCTGAATGTACCTTGCGCAAAATCATTCATGAAGTGGATAATCAGATGGCGGATGAACTCATTTGGGTCTTCTTTGAAACCGTGGATGTTTCCAAAATGAGCGAGAGAGTGGTAGGTTCAGTTTATTGTGCTTAACTTGGATTAAGAAAGTCATTAAAGCTGCCAAACGGTTGTAGCAACATCCAAGCCGAAGTATTTGCTATAAAATTGGTGGTAAAGCTACAACAAAGTGCAGGCCTTCAAAAGAAGAGAATACACATTAAGTAAAGAAGCGATAAAAACACTGTCTGGTGAGAGAAGAGCTGACATTTAAAGAGTGCCAGGTGATATGGACATCGAAGGCAGTTGACGAACTTGCTAAGGAGGATGTCCTTTTAGAGCAGGGTGTGGTAATTGACCTACACAGATAAGTGAATGAAAAGGATCAAGTAAACATGCTTCGTAAAGAGACCGAATAACATGCTGCTGGTACGAATCCTATTTAGACATTCTCTTTCGGCGTCACATGACTTTAACCAACGTTTGGTGGAGGGCAATTGGTGCAGACATGTAGGGAAAGTGGGAAGACAGTGGGTCTAGTCTGAGAGTATTCAACATACGACAGACAAAAGCTTTGCTCACTTGGCGCAGAAAGGCTACATGACCTTCAAACGGCAATGGGAAAAAAGCCAAAATGACTACCTCAAATTCTTCAATCTAGAAACAAAGTAAAAAGTGTAGTAATGTAGCTAAGCCGTAAGTAGTGTGTCAGGCAGAACTATGAACGTGATTTCGCCTAGGTTCGAACCGCTGGGTCAGCCAATTCAACTTAATATGACCTTTATTAATGTTGTTGAATAAAGAAAGTAGTTGCAAAATATTGAGTTTTATTGAAGTGAATCTCGTATATGGGAAATAAAAATATCATCATTGGTGTTCGATCAGAAAATCTTTGAAAAAAGGGGTATGTTCGCTTTTTAATGTCAAATTTTGGTTTTTTATTAGAACTCGCAAAGATAGGGTTATCCAATTCGTATATTTAAAAGTACAGAGCTGTATTTTGACAACTGTCAAACTGAACTGTCAAATTAAACACGTTTTGTTTTAGTTAAAACTCAGCCACTGATGAAAATGGACCGCTAAACATCCGCACAATGCGTTCAAATTACTAAAACTTACTATAAAAATGCAATTTTAAACTTGGCCATGTTTTGTGCTCTAAGAGAGAATTATGGTGAACAGAAACTACTCAAAGAAATTTGAATAGGCTGAATCGGCTAGAGATATTGTAAGGCCTGTGCATCAGCGTCTTGCTTGTTCCACCTCAAATATTGCTAATGAAAGTGAAAGTATGGCCGAAGACCTCAATGCGTCTATTTCCCTTTCTTACGGCACATTATGGTATGTTTTGCACTTAGACTTATACTTACATACATATAAAGTTCAGCTCACTCAACAACTGAAGCCAGATGACCATACAGAACGCCATACCTAAGTTGATTGGATGCTGGAACAGCGAGCAGCGGACGACGATTTTCCGAGAACAGTTTTCTTCACAGACGACACATTTCTCACTCGGGGAATGCATAAATCAGCGAATTTGTTACAATTGAGATTCCGAGAATCTAACAATTGAAGGGAGGCCATTACACTCAAAAAAACTTACTGTCTGTTGGGCTCTTTGGTCCGGAGGTGTGATTGGAACTTACCTCTTTGAAAACGACAATGGCGAGACTGCCATTGTTAATTTGGAGCGTTATTGTCGAATGACAACCGACATTGTAGGCCTGTAATTGAAAATCAATATGTGGTTTCAACAAGCTGGTGCCACATGCCAAACAACTCGTGCTATAGCTTTATTGCGAGTAAAATTTCCTGATCGCGTAATCTTACCTCTTGGTGATGTCAAATAGCCACCGAGATCATGTGGTTTCTCATACCGCGCTTCTTTTTGTGATGCTAAGCTAAGAACCATGTTTATGCGGATAAATCTTTAAATCCTGAGCTCTTGAAAACTAACATTCGTCAAGTTTTGGCTGAGATACCGCCTAATATGTACCAAAAAGTGGTCGAAAATTACCTCAAACGGATCGAAGTTTGCAAAGATTCGCGAGGGGGCCATTTGCATGATGGAATGTTTCACATAGGAGTATAATGCAAAAGTTAGGTTGAACTGGTTTACCCATCGGGCCTCACATAGGCGATTTTACATTCATTATGTTATACGGTCTTGAAGGCCAAAAAAAGGGTTATTTTCTCTAGTTTTTATAAAAGATACTAAATAAAGAAACCAATTTTCTTCTTTTACATTTAAAAGTACATTACACGGTGTGCCCCAAAAATAACCGATTTTTTTGGATATAAAATAAAATACACATTACATTATCTTTGAAAGTTATTATTGTATTTATTCAAAATAGGTTCCATTTGACTCAACACAAAGTTTGGAACGATCAACAAGCGCAGGCATAAATTTTTTTATGTCATTTATAGAAATGTTCTTCAGTACCTCGGTTACGGCTGCTTGAAAGGCTGGGATATCGTCATAAAATGCTCACTTCATCTTGATTTTCAATTTTGGAAATAAAATATAGTCACATGGTGACAGATCAGGCAAATACGCAGGATGGTCGATGACAGAAATCCCTTTTTTCATTAAAAATTCCAGCGATTTTTTGGTCGTCATTTAATTCATGTGGAACAAATTGCGCACCGACCTTTCTTTTCCCCAAATCTTCTATTAAAATTTCCAAATAGTGTTTTTACTCGTATTCAATTCCTCATCCAACATTCTCTTAGTAAAATTTACATCGATACCAATGAGTTCACTGACTTTTTCCACCAGTTCAGTACGATTACCAGTTTCTGGACGTCCTGCTCTAGGATCGTAATTTAAATCCTCACGACCATTTTTAAATCGTGTAAACTACGTATAAACTTGCGTACGACTCATACAATCATCACAATAAACTTTTTTCATTAATTTTTTTTCAAGTTTGACACAAAATTTTATATTTACTCTTTGTTCCATTTTATTTTTGAACCATAAGCACACTTTTGGTTTTATTGAAATGGCTGTCATTTTGACATCTGTCATCCGACTTACATGATGTTAGGTGCGTTTGAAAGAGGATGAATGTATCTTTTAAACGTTTTCAATAGATGGCGCTGTATGTTGTATGATTTAAATATAAAGTTCGGTCATTTTTAGGACACACCGTATATGTGGACAATATTTGATGAAAATTTGAATGAAAAATAGTTAAAATGTTAAGGCGATGGCAGTGTCGTAAAGTAGACCGTCCACAACAAGAGCTTTCGCGGCAGTCATGATAACTTTTTCAATTTTTATCTAAAATCAAAAATCCAAATTTTTTCTCAAAGTAGGTGAATTTTCTTTGTCCCTGAACGAAGAGAAATTAAAAAAAAAAATTAAATTTAAGTTTTTTTAGCGTTTTTAAAAAAACGTCAATTTTACAGAAAATTAGGCCACATAGTGGCTTTTAAAATGGGTTGAAATAAAGGAAAAAAGAAGTGTGGAAAAGTTGAACTCGATCGATCTCGATAGTCGTTGAGAAGTTTTGACTACCGATTTCGATAAATTTTTAGAAAATTAATTTAAATATAAAAATTAAGTTAAATTTTCTAATTGCAGTCGCGAATTGGATAGCCGCGTATAAAAAGCTTGTGACAATAAACACTTTAATTACATATTTTATTTTTTATTATACATATATTTTGAAGTTGTTTTTTTTTTCTCTATTCGAAAAATATCTACCAACTTTTTTTTTGCGAATAAATGGAATTCTCAATTCTTTTAATGTTGAAATTGAAATCATTCTATGCCAATTGAAATTCTTAGAGAACAAATAAAATAAACATAAACAACAATTCTTTATTTACGATTTTCATTATTTATTTATTGGACTTAATACATTCAACGTCGTCATTCGAAACTTAATTAAAAATATGTATAAGACATTTTTTTTATATATCTATAAATTATGTTTATATGTATGTATGTAAGTGACTCCATGGGAGGCAATTCAAATATGCAATTACATGCTGCCTTCTTCGACTATTTATTGTTAATATTTTAATAATACATTAATATTTTCGGCACAAAATTGTGGGTAAAAGTGGACCAGCAATGTTTTTGAGATTTTATTTTTATTTAATTTTTTATTTTCCATTTTCATTGTTTCTTTTATATTTTAATTTCTTTTGTCATAGTTTTTAAATAAAATACATCGCTTCTCATCGTTTAATATTAAATTTTAAAAATTAGAAAATTACAAAATATAACAAAACTTAAGCACACTCGTATGCGTCTAATAATCGATAAATCTGTAATTGTATATGTATATATATATATTTTTTAATTAAATATTTTTTGTTGTGGTTTTTTATTATACTATTGAATATACGCCTCTGGGAGTTTATCTATAGATCTCGAGCGAGCATATTTCGGCTAACAATTGTTTATTAATTTGACTATTTCTTTATTAAATATTTATTTTATTACTACTACAACTATGAAATTCGACTAACGATTACATATCTTCAAGATCAGAGATCAAAACCACTACTTACACATTTACATAATTTTATTGTAAATACATTCTACAACAAATACACATACAGTCACTTGTCATGCGTCGCACGTCACATGTCACACGTCACACGTCATATGCCACTTGTGACTTGTCGCTTATTCCATTTAACCTGTCTCATATGTCAGCCGTTTCATGCTTCATTTGTTACCTAGAATTTATTTAAGACTACAACTACTTAAATATGTAGGCAGAGTTCTCTGTATTAGCATACTAAGTGTTATATAGAGCTAGAGCTATAGAGCCATATAGAGAGGGAGAGATAGATAGTAAAACGAAATTTGTGAGTAACACAGTAGTAGTTTGCAGTGGAAGTAATACAAGTACCATGAGAGATAGAGAGGGCGAGATAAAGAGAGAGTGTGAAAGTGAAAATACCGGCTTAGCGTTCAAGTCGTACGCCTTAAAGTATACAACATGAACGTTCCATTTTCTTTTCAATCTTTGGCATTTCCTGCAGCGCCAGCTCAACATGCTTACGCGCCAACCATGACTGCTTCTGCAGACGATTCACAATAATACGATACGCGCCGATGATATCGCTACGTGGTCCATTTTGCATAGCCTCACGTAGCATTTGGGACGTAACGCCGAGCTCATCGAGTAGCTGTCGCGCTTCATATTCCAGCGGTTTGACTAATGTTAAATCATCCGTATCTGTTGGCAGCATAATAAAATCTCCAGTTTCAATATCGTAATTTTTGAATAGCGGACAATCTATGGCCACATCCGCATTCCATTGACGATTCTCACAGCCATTTCCATTGGCCAATTGTCGCTCCTTCTCCATCTCCATTGGGCTAACCTTCTTCTTCAGTGTACCACAAAAGAACGAACGTTTCGGTGTATTAGGCTTTGATGGATCTTTGTTGGGCTCGTTGGGTAAATCACGATTGATTTCGATCGGATGTAGGAAATTATCTACGAATACACCTTCGTTTTTACGTGTATTCATATTGATTGGCGGTTTGTTGGTCACCTCCATGTAACGTTCGCGGAGTGAATATGACTTGCGTAAGCGTCGTGATTTCGAACGTACCCAGAAACCAGAGCGTTTGACGGGTTTCGTGCGTAGATTAATTTCATATTGCATCAGTTCGGCACTGAGCTTGGGATAACAAACGAATTGACTGGTGAGCATTTCCTCAATGCTGGGTCGGCGAGCCGGTATGTGGATAAGAATGCGTTCTGTAAATATACAAATATTATAAAATATTGAGATCAAGTTTTGGGGGGAAATAGTGATAAGTGAAAAACCCTTGAAACCAGATCAAGGAAAACAAGCATGTAATGGCTAAGTTTGGTCAGAATGGTAGTACATTATTTAGTTGACTATTTCAAAAATTGCTAGCACTGAGTAGTACGACTAATGGTTTTGCTCTCATTGCACTATAGATGAATTAACTAAGACTATAATACTTACGTATAAGTCTTATGCATGGCAGACTCAGTTGGCCGGGCAGCAAGTAGTCACCTTTCAATATTGCCGCCTTCAAACCGGGTATTGTGGGCGCTCGGAATGGCATATTACCCACAACCATGAAATAAAGTAAAATCCCCAGCGCCCATATATCTACTGGTGCACCGATATAATGATCATCGGAGAACAGCTCGGGTGCAGCATATGGGGGTGAGCCACAAAATGTGTCCAGCTTCTGATTGGCACCTGGTCAAAATATATTTATTGTAGTTCAAGATGTTGTAAATAATAAAAAAAAAAAATATTAATGTGAACTAATATATTGTGAACGAAAGAAAATAATTTCAGAAAACCCAGTCTTTCGAAAATATCTTTTTTTCTCAAATTAAAGCGTTTAAGAAAATTTGGAACCTAACAAAATTCGTCGCGATGAATTTTGTATAACTTTTAGCGGTAATAAGCTTGACAGTGGTCTGTTAGAGTGAGTCAGTTTGAAACTTTGGTCGGCTCGGACTTTGAAAACTCCAATGTAGGTCGGTAGGAGTGAAAGAGAAAAAAACTTGGTCCTATTTAATACTCTGTGCACCATTTCGGTGCCCGATGGTGATGCCTTTATATAGATTTGAGTTGAGTTGATGCGGCTGCTGGCACACTTCGGCCAATAGACCCTTTGTAATACCGCTGGGGCTTCTGTCTTCATCTTCTCAAATGATGGAACCATTTTGTGTGCCTTATAAAGGTGACAAGATTTCCAATGTTCACTGAGGCCAACTCAGCGAGACAGTCAATGCCAAGGCCGGAAAGTGACAGACGTAGTGCTCGATAGTCTCCTCCTCGGCATCGTTAGAGTAAAAGCCCATTCTAATCCCGTGATGCCTTTATATAGCAAAACCTGTCATGTTGAGCTCACTGTGAGAGTGTTTATATTGGATATGCTTCTTCTGATAAGCTTTCTATGCGCTATAATTGGCAGCTGCGATAAAGGCTGAGTAGATTTCTTTATAATGCATATTCTCCGAAAAGCGACTGTAGGACTCTAGAGCCGTATTTGTTTTGTTTTCATATCTGAGTCCAGATTTCTTGCTTGAAAACTAATACAAACCATTCGTCACCGCGTTAATCGTGTATCCAAGTGAATGCCAAGTTATGAGATTTCGTTAACTTGTGCGATATGCACATTATTGAGTTTGATAACAGTGGATTGGTGAATTTATCTGTTAGAGAGTTCATGGGCCTCGCTACAATTATTGACGGGTCAACAGTGCCGCCAAGGCACTACAGGCCTTTTCTATACCTGACAGTTGATAGAGGAACATGGGAAAACATTTGCTTCTGTAATCGTAGTAAAGGTCATATAACGACCGCTGTTCTTGAGTGACTATACTTCATTCATAGCCGCACGTATCACGGTATGTCTGAGCGGGCGCCAGATGTTTCCAGAGCTTGACAAAAGGTTAATTTGGGAGCATTCTCCAGGTAATTCTCGTTATAAAGTTTAAACTCCCACATCTTTGCAGTGTTATTCAAAAAGTGTTTTTTTTTAATAATTAAGAAAGCGGTGGACTCACTACTTTAGACGAGTAAAGGCAAGCGGCTGTTGAAGCCCTGCATCGTTGATGTCAAACTGAGCGCAAGTAAGACCCACTGTGTCAAAATGCAGACCGCTTGTGAACAAGTGGAACTTTGACGAGATCAGTAAGCGTTTTTCTAAATCTTCCTGAACCAAGATGAGCCGCGAAAGGTTAAAAGAACGCTTTTAATTCTATTGTAAAAACAAAACTGTTACACAAGGCGTAAGTTCTGTTTTATTCTAGATATTACAAGCTTCTGATATCTATTTTTACCTTATTTATCTTATCCGAATGGGCAGAGTCAATAATTCAAGCTAACAGGGTTCGGTCTCGCACCACACTTACTCTAGTGGTTAATGGGCATCCTCAAAGACAGTACCTACCAAAGATGTTATTACCGCTGTAGAGAAGAGTTTCGAGGAAGACCCAAATGAGTTCATCCGCCATTTTGTAGTTGGTTTTTTAGCCTCAAAAATATACCCGAAAGTAGCTTTTGGGGAATGTTGCGAGAGGGACAAATCAGGGTCGTTCTGATATAAAGAGCCGACTGTCGCAGAAACTTTGGGTTTTTGTCATCTCCTACGACAGCCATGTTGTACTGCGTGAAAATTCTTGAACTCCTACCCCGCAGGGTCGAAGTCACCGCGTTGCACTTTCGGTGAATGGGCACAGACCGCGATGACCTAAGAAACCGATTTTCCCAAAAAAAAGTGTTGTTTAACGATGAAGCTCACTTTTGGTTTAACAAGCCATTGTTGAGACGGCACTACATCCTCAGAGAAGCTCTGATTAGTGTGCACTACGAGCAGATGGAATTATTGGTTCATATGTTTTGCTTTAAATAGAACCCGGTCATAATGTTTTCGTCAATGGGAATACTATAGAACCACGATCAAAGACTTTTTTCCGCTGGATTTGGAGGATGTAGATGCGGACGACATTTGGTGAGACAAGACGGTGCTATATGCCATACATCCAACGAAACAATCAATTTATTAAAGGAAACTTTTGGTGAGCGCATTATCTTGCGTCGTAGGCTTGTGGCGTGGCCACCAAAATCGTGCCATTTAGTACCGCTAGACGGTTTTTGTAGGGTTTTTGTAGGTATATGTACAGTCACTTGTCTGCGTAAATAAGCCTGAGTCAATTGACGCCTTATAAAAGAATATTTGGCGCATTTTAGCTGACTTACGGCCCCAATTACTGCAAAAAGTGGTCGAAAATTCGGTCTCTCGGTTGGAATTTATACGTGTTAGCCGCGCTTTTTATAAACGCTGAAGAGATTTTCGAACAAGTTCAATTTGTAGTAAACCCCTTACGAACGGCCGATGGACTTTTGTGGGGAGCGTTTTATTTCTATCACATTCTTTTATGAGGGCCGATTGCAATTTGGCAAAATTAATATTATACCATTTTTGATTTTGGTCGGACCTGGACTTCTGCTCTGTCCAGCCGAATGTTAGTACACAACGAGACCGTATCATCTGACAACTCATATGAAATACATAAAAAATTTACTATGAGTTGCAAAAGTTATGAAAATTGAAATTGAAACGTCTCGAGAAAGTAATCAAGCATAAAAGCGTAATCTGTATGGAGTCGGTTGCAAACTGATTTTCTGACTAATATTTCATTTGTAATAAAGCTTAATGAAGGAAAATGAAAAATAGTTGTCACAACACTCTCTGTCAAATTATATTTTTAAATTATTTATATTTGCAGTCACTTCAAATAGTTCTGGCCAACGCTGAGTGATAAAGAATGCCACTCTATTGCAGAAACACATTTAAGAGCGTTTTGTTTTTTATTCGTGGTTATGTATGTATATATCTATATACCATTGTTTATTCACACTTCTGCAGTCACATTCTTGCCACTTACCATTGATAAGCTGTGTGCTAAAACCGAAATCAGCCAGCTTCAAGCGATCCTCTGACAGCAGCAGCACATTTTCAGCCTTTATGTCGCGATGTACAAAGCCCAGGCTGTGCTGTAATTTATCACCAACATGGATGGACGAATGGTGGGATGCAAGTAGGAGCATGAAAATACACAGAAAAAAAATAACTTTTTACATATACAACTACTACATATAAGTCCAAGTGTAAGTGAGTGGAAAATGGGGAGAAAGAGTTGCAATAAGTGCAGTGACAGAAGACACAAATCGCAATTTAATGGACAACTGGTCGCCACCAAAGGCACAACGCTGCCCGGCGCACGCTATGTGCACAGAATCCTATCTGCAGAATGTCCTTTCTCACTGCCGCCGGCTGGTCTTCAGTGCATGTCTGTTTTCGCTCAGACACTTTTGAAGCCTTGTACACGTCCAAAGCTTAATATAACTGTTAACTTACCATGTGTTTTACGGCTAACAACAGCTGCTTGTACAGCGGCGCAGCGTGTATCTCTCGCAGCGGACCACCCTGGGTTATGTGGTTGTAGAGTTCGCCACCGCGTATCCACTCGGTGACCAAGTAAACACGTCCCAGTGTCTCTACAACTTCGAAGAGCCTGCATAGAAGATAAAAGTGGAATATAAAAGGAATTAAATGGCTGAATAACAAGAATATGTACGAGTACATATATTGTATGTATGTATGTTAAATCAGAGAGTAAAGTGTATTTACTAAGAGGGACAAATTGGCACAAGCAACAAAAAACAAAAAAAGGGGGAAAAATATAAAGAAAAAAATGAAAATAATAAAGAAGGATAAATAAAGAAAACAAAGTCGCCTAAATACTGAGGAGCTAAATTCGGTTGGAACCGTATACCGAATAACTGCAACAAAATTGTCTTTATTCCAGCCGCCCTGAGGCCGATCGATTGAATTGCACCTTTCTTCTAACTTGTTTCTTCTTCCCATTAATCCCACTGTATTTGAGCCTTTCATTTTTTTGTTTTTTTTTTCTAGATTCTGAAGAGAGAATGTATTTTTTTAATCCACTCATATGCACTATGTCTCCGAGAATAGGTTTGAGGTTAAACCACCACAACAACTGTGGCTCATGAACTGTTTGACAAAAGAAAGGTGTTTTTTTTTGTTTGTCCAAATTATCTACACGGGCGCCTTCTGTCTTCTGAGTTATTCATCGCGGTGGATACAGACTTCCTGACCATCGTAGTGTTTTCCAGGCTTAGGTTGCTGCTAACAAAGAAGCGGTGGATATACCACATCCGAGTGTGTTCTGTGCGATAGACTGACTAACATTTATTCAGATAGATTTTCATCTGTTATGTCTTTGACCTCACTCATGGTGGCTCCAAAATTGTGAAGAAATGCTTGAAAATCACTGTTTAGGCGAATTTACATCAATGAATTTATTTTGGTCCAACGTTTGTGTTGCTGAGACTTAAAATTCTCACAAATTTGTACACTTTGGGCAAGCATTGAGCGATTCACTAAATGAAGGTGGTCGAGCATTTAGCATATTTTAACGCTTTTTTACTTTTTTGGAACAGCCACTTTTGCCTAAACTAACCTGACCTAACCTAACTTGACATAACCTAACTTGAACTTCAATCGTCAATTATATCTGTAGGGCTATGTCAAAGATTTGATCCTTAAAATTTTGAAAATCATATGAAATATAATGTAAGTTACGGTGTTAGAGAAAAGAGCTCACTCAGCTAAAAAGTAGTGCATGTACATATATTATATGAATACCCATTTTTTGTTGCTTTATGCGATAAAATATATGCATATATATATAAACCAACTTGCAAACCCATGCATTTTTTGTTAGCCTTTTATATTGTAATACCACCTTCCCCTCTTCCGCTCTTTACCTTAAAATGTTGGGATGATGTACACATTCGAGTGTGGCAATTTCACTGGAGAGCATACGCAAAGCTTTCGCATCCAAACCACCACGGTCAACTACTTTGATAGCCACTTTGTCTGGAAAAAAAGTAGAAGAAAAGAGAAATGTTAATAAAAGCATGTGATTTTAATAGAATCAGGAAAAAGTCAGAAGTGGGTAAAGATAATTGACAAAGGGAATTTTTTTCTCGGTTGAGCTTTGAACAAAAATTGATGGAAAAATATAAGAGAAGAATAAAAACTGGTTGCATACATACACGGTGTGTCCCAAAAATAACCGAACTTTTTGGATATAAAATAAAATACACATTATGTTATCTTTGAAAGCTATTATTTATTCAAAATAGGTTCCATTTGACTCAACACAACGTTTGGAACGATCAACCAGCGAATGCATAGATTTTTTTTATGTCATTTATAGATATGTTCTTCAGTACCTCGATTACGGCTGCTTGAATGGCTGGGATATCACCATAAAATGTTCCCTTCATCTTGGTTTTCAGTTTTGGAAATAAAAAATAGTCACATGATGATAGATCAGGTGAATACGGAGGATGGTCGATGGGAGAAATCCCTTTTTTCATTAAAAATTCGAGCGATTTTTTGGTCGTCATTTAATTCATGTGGAACAAATCACGCACAGACCTTTCTTTTCCCAAATCTTCAGCTAAAATTCTCCAAATAGTGTTTTTACTTGTATTTAATTGCTCAGCCAACATTGTAGTAGTAAAATTTTCATCCATACCAATGATTTCACGGACTTTTTCCACCAGTTCAGTACGATTACTAGTTTCGGACGTCATTTAAGTCCTCACGACCATTTTTAAATCGTTTAAACCACGTATACACTTGCGTACGACTCATACAATTATCACAATAAACTTTTTTCATTAATTTTTTTTCAAGTTTGACACAAAATTTTATATTTGCTCTTTGTTCCATTTTATTTTTGAACCATAAGCACACTTTTGGTTTTATTGAAATAGCTGTAACTTTTACATCTGTCATCCGACTTACATGATGTTAGGTGCGTTTGAAAGAGGATGAATGTATCTTTTTAATGTTGCAAATTTTCAATAGATGGCGCTGTATGCTGTATGATTTAAATATAAAATTCGGTTATTTTTGGGACACACCGTGTATATTAAAAAAAGAGTAGAAGATTGAAAATTTGTGTGTGACATTATTAGTTGAATTAAAGCTACTAAAGCACTACAAACAGATACTCCTATTTTGCTAAAATGCACAACGGCTTGTTTTGCTATTTTAAAGCTTTTGCCCAATTGGAGCAGTACAACAAAATTAAAATTTCAAATTTCAAGATGTTTATACTTTGCTTAAATTGCTTTAATATTATAGAAAAGGAAATATTAACAGCCATATTCTGTGCACTTGATAAATTCACCAACTTGGTTATTTATCGAGATTGACAATATCTCATGATTTTTCAATTCTGTGTCAAAAAACTCTTTTCTTGATAAATTGTCAAGATATCGAATGCTCTTGACAAAGTTTTTTTTTTTTTTTACAAATAAAACATCTTTTTACTGTACGTGCATAGTTACGAATAACAAATTGTAAATTATATGAGAGGTAAATTGCAAAAATAGAGATCGCTCGCACCACTTAAGAAGAAGAGACGATAGTTATTTATTTTCGTTAAGTGATAGCCCATTTTCGCAAAATTTTCTTTTCGACTTACGAAATTTGCCGTCATCTCATAGATGAACCTCATGGTGTTTGGTCATAAGAGTGCTGGTGGCTTTAAACTTCTTTGGGTATGGTTCATATCAAAAATGTGAAGGCAACAACTTTGACTTGCCAATGAGTCAGTCGTTCCTTCCAGGAGTTTACTTATTGTAAAGATGAAGGTATGAGAAATAAAATTACTCAGCTCGGCAGGGGAAGAAACTAATGTAAAAACAGAGTATTTTAATGCAAATAAAAAAAAAAACAATAAAATCAATTTATCTCGAGAGAAAACTACCACTACTAATGCCAGTTGAAGAACCTCAACCCTCCTAAGAATTCAAATACAACAAACTAAATGGTTCTACCAGTATACAGTACATACATACGTGAAGGTGAAGGCCTACGTCCAGATATATTTCATCCCTAAAGTTATTAAATAATCAAAATGTAAACATTTTCACATAAAACTTTCCAAATATATGTACTACAATTATGTAATACAACTACAGATATTTTTTTATTTATTCTTCCTTTATTTTAAAATAATTGATGTTAGCAAAACCAGCTGATTTTTGTTTACATTTCCCTGTTCACCACACAAGTGAGGAAAAGCGCGACAAACTGAAGCTTTAAGTTTTATCAACATTGACACAGAATACCAAATAAATTTTTGCTTGATAAAAATCTTGATAAATTATTATTAATTTGTTAACTTCTCAAGTGCATAGAATAGGCCTGTGGAAATATTTTCAAAAGCATTGTTCCAAAATTTTTATCATTTTTTTTTTCAAAACTTTTTTTCTCAAATTTATTTAAATAAATTTTTTTGTAATTTTTTTTTTTCAAATCTCTTTTCAAAATTAATTGGCAAAATTTTTTACAACGCTTTTTTTTGAAATGTAAAAAAAAATTTTTTTTAAAAAGCTCGCACAAAATCTTGACTGCCAGTTCATATTATCGGCAGACTGATTGATTTGTGCTTTTTCTGCATTGTACGGCTTTCCCTCGGCATCGTAAATTACAAAAGTTGTTGTTGTTGTAACCGCAAAATATTTCCCGAATGGGATTATAAAAATTCGACTGGTGCGGGATCTAATTAAATTGTTAATAATTTCTTTTCATTTTTAATATACAAATAATGTTTTGGTTTCATAAAAATGTCGTATTAGGATTTTTGAAAAAAAAAAAAAAAAAAATACAGAAAGTAATAAAATATTGAAACTTATCTACATTTATATTATTAGTTTTATTTACCTCGCGTTAGTTGGTGTACAGCTAATTTCACTTTGGAAAAATTGCCACGCCCAATGTCGCCACAAAATCTGTAAAGACCGATGCGTCGGCCGATGGTCACCTAAAATATTAAATATTATTATTAAAATTGTGTTTTAAAATAGAAAGAAAAATGGATAATAAATTTAACTGAATCAGAGTTTCAAAAAAAAAAAAAAAAAAAAATCATCAAAGCCATTTAGCCAGAAACCACTCTTCGATTTATCTTAAAGAAATAACAAAGTTAAGTTTACAATATAAGGCTGGGACTTATGGAATATTTGTTGCAAATGGCTGCTAACTGAGAGCCGACTTTTTAAGTTAACCTCTCCGACTTGTTTCTCCTATTCATAACAGGTCTTCTACTTAGTACTTTTAGCTTGGTAAGAAGTTCATAATATCATTTAACCCTTTGACTTGGGTTACTTTTTCAAGTAGTTTCCCATTGGTAATGGAGTTAAATATAATTTATTGTTCTTCTGGTCAGTAGTGGATTTATTTCATCTAAAGTTACACTGTTGAGGGTGAGGTTTAGTCTTTAGGGAATGCACCTGATCAGCCCTTTACCATTTCATTCTCATTGCCAGTTAGCACTCCGTATACTCTATGTATCAGTCGCTAGATCATTGGTTGTGTAAACATTTATTACACCAATACATTAACGTGATTTCAATAAGGTTTCAATAATATAAATATTTATGCACATATACTTTAACAAGTGTAATGCGTAATATACGTATGAATTTGTATGCGTAACGTTTGATCGTATGAAGACAAGTTTTAATGTCGCTCATACGCCCTGTCATCCAGCGAAATGCATTTGGGCCAAAGCTATTCAATATCGCTGACTCTTAATATGTTAACCCCAACACGGCAGCAAACTTTGAATGTCGTGTACTTTATTGTTTGAATATTTGAGCTTATCCTTGAAAATCTGTGTATATTTTAACGGTAAATTATGTTTTGTGGTCGATTTCAACGAATTTGGCCTATTGTATCGAAAGCTGCATTTAATTATTTTAGTTGATTGAATTTTCTCTTTAACTTTTAATAATATAAAATAATATGACAGATTATGGTCGTTGAATTAGCCTTGCTGACGATAATGGATTAATGCTTGAATAAGTCTGATAATTTGGGAGATTAGAAGACAGGAAAGTATTGGATCCTTTGAGATGAGTAGAAGTCAATAACAGAGATACGAAATTAACAATCTGTTAATATATCTCAAACTACAAGTGATTAACAAAAGTTCGGTAAGTTGACCAGAAAAAAAATAAATAAAAAACTTGTTCTTGAATTTATTCATAATCTTTGTCCCTTTTTATCTCCTCTAATCTTCTCTACCTAACCACCATTGATTTCCATGCATATCTTAAGCCTTTAGAAGCATTCTAAGCTTAACAAGCTCATCATTAACCGCATTATTAAATACATTTAAAATTCATGGTACCCATGGAGCAGATTTCTTCGTGTATCCCATATGATTACTTAATATTTGCGATACAGTTATGGGATTCAAGCCTACTTTCATTAGAAATCATTAATTGTGTCAATAGTGGGTCTTCGTCAATTTTGAACTTCACCAGAGCTACAGTCACGTCATCAGTGGAAGGTTTTGGTGGACCTTCTCGGGGTTCGTCCTCCACGGAAAAATTAAAAATGCACAGTCTGGAATTTCCGGAACCACTTAGAAATAGTCTTTAAGGACGGTCCAATCGTTCCATATACAATTTGGCTTTCACTGAATTTTTGCATTGGCTATAAATTACGCCGAAACCCGAAAAGAATCACAGGCTTGTGTTGGTGGTGGAATTTCATCTGACCTATCCTCAGCTAACTAATAAAGTAATTACAGAGGAATTGGTATTTTTAGATTTAACAAAAACAAATTGAAAGTCACCAACTGACCGAGCTTTGGTTAACACCCTCGTATATACCCTGCACAAAAGTTATAATAATAACATTAAATGTGCAAGAGTTGAATTGATGTGATTGATGGCCATGACTCTTTGTCCTTTATGGCCCGTTATGATACCACCTGGCTGCAAGGAATGTCAAGGCATCCGAGTACGTATATATCTGACATGAAACAGAAAACGCTTCTCATAAAAATCCTTCGTAGGATGTTTGAAAATATTAGGACGCACACCACAAATGGGAGGAGGAACTCTGTCAAAAATCGCTTCAGCGGTTATATAAATCGTAGGAATCAATTAAAATGTGTGTTTAATGCAGTGGATCTTTAATGCTTGCGGTGGTTTACTCAGCGAAGCAGCCGAAATAGTATTTTCCGAGAAAATTGTGTCGCGTGGTGTTAAAAGCTACAAAAAACAAAGCCAGAAGCACTGTACAACATACTCTTTGCTCTAAATCTTCCTGTAGTTGCGATCAAAGTAAATTGAGTAACATGTCTTTCTTTTTCCATGTGCTCCCACACAACATATCGTTCTGATGAAGAAATGATTTAGAAGAAATATATTTTTTTACCCATTAGTGTCAAGTGCTGGTCAGATCTGCCACGTTAGATACACGTGATTCCATTGCACTATCTATTATTGACCTTTTTTGTGAGTTCCAGTCCGGGCTTTTGTTGAACAGAGTACGTATTAGCTAAGATGGTTATTACTCTCGCAAGCTCGTCCGCCATGCATTTGCTCTCTTTTACATTATACATTGGCTTAGCTGCCAGCTATTTCCGTGACTGCAGTAAGTTTGTCTTGAAAGACGCTGCTCATGAAGGAGAGAGACAACTGTTTTTAGCCGGAAAGTTGCCAGTTCCTCTTTGATATAGGAAATTTAAATTTTCTCTTTTGTGACATTCATTCATAATGGCCTGGTATCGCAGAATACCCTTTTGGTTTTAGTTGGGTTGACGTCTAGACATTCACATTATTTCCTGCTATGTGTAAAGCAATTTGCAGCAAGTCACTTACAGTCTCGACGTATTTACATGTCACTATGGAGGCAAGAATCACATCAAAGCCAGTGCTCCCAAGTTTCCGTAGTATGGTGAAACACTATGATAGTGTATAAAAAACTTCATCTTCCTGAAGTGCTGGCCAGCTCAGCAAAGGTTATCAGGTTCCTCAGGATGGACTAAAAAATTTCCCCTATGAATTGTTGAATACCCATTTCTTCAAGAGCCTCAAACTATAGGTTGTTAAATGCTCTCTCTACACACATCAGGTTCATGAAAAATGAAAAATGATGGAATAAAGTACAAAATCAATGAGAACCAGCGTCTAATTAACGATAAATTTTTGTTTCTACTCTTTGCCATCAAGAAAAATTTAGCGCCTGAATTCAATAATTCGATGAACTTGGCTCTAATTGCACTCTTTACTGAACGTTGAGTAGTCACATTACGTTTTCGTACCTGCCAGGAAGTGTAATCTGAGAGAGAGATTTAATGATTAGCTCAGGACTAAAACAAATTAATAAATGTGACGCCGCCGCCTCCTTAAGAAGTGACTTAGCGGTTAATAAGTTCAGTATTCTCCCTATTTAAAGGCTTACATTTTGTTTCACCATTCTTTGAAGGAATGCGTGGTAGAGGTTATGGGAGAGAGTACACTTTTTCTGTGCTGTCTCAGACTACTCCCTCGGCCCTCGAAATTGTACTTCAATTAAAAAGTTATCTGCATTTGGCAATATTTGTTTCGTTTAACCCCAAAATTTCTAGACGGTAAATCAAAGGGATGTAAATTGAAAATTGATGGAATAAAGTAAAAAAAGAAAGAGAAATAGCATCTAATTAACGATAACTTTTGGTTTCAACTCTTTTTCGAGTTACAGAAATTGGATAAGAGTTTATTTTTTTCGCTACGGTTTTGTATGATTTTCAATTTTCTCTGTAAAATCCCTGGACTTAATTGATTCAATTGTCACTTACATGCATTCATTGGCTATTTACTACGTAAGCAGGGCGGCAGGTTAGTCAGCAAACTATGCGAAAAATTGCCGTAAAAGCAAAAAAAAAAAAAAAAATTAAAATAAATAATATTGGTGGAAATTGTATGACTGACTATAATTGAATATGTATTTATTAATAATGTTAGTTGTTGTGGTACACACCATTTTTTACCTATACATTATTATACACGCTAATTGTGATTATATCAATATTTGTATTTATTTTTTAGTACACCTATAATCCATCAGTGTAAATTATATGTATGTGCATATATATAAACATACGAGCTTACCATTTTGATTATTAAATTTTCTCGTTTCAATGATTGCGTGTCAAAGGTGGGTGTTAAAATAGCCACACACACACACACCCATAAAGCAGCAATACGATATATTGCCACTCACCCACAATTGATGTGTTTAGTATGCTGTTAGTACAGGGTTATCCTTTTTGAGGTTTCGAAAGTAAACATAAACAAAATGTATTTAAAATAATTTTCTTTTATGAAGTTCATTTTTAGTATAAAAATTGACAATATATGTGAAACAGAAATCACACTAATGACCATCCATGTGAGATAATTTTTGACCAATTTTTGGCATATACACCGTACAAAGTTCAATTGGTTCAAGAATTGAAGCCACGAGACCATCCGATGCAGTTTGCCTTTGCCGAATGGGCATTTGTTTTATTGCATTTCAAAAAAAGATTCGTGGCGGACCCGTATAAGACCTCATCTCAGCTATAACTGAACGAATGTTGGTTCTTAAGTACTCAAGAGTTAATGGATTACACGCATAAACATCTCAAATCGTAAGACCTCGTTGCCCAAATGACATCGCCAAGACGAGATATTTTGTTCCCGGTGTATTTCTCTCTCAAAAAACCATATTCGCTTGTGCTGTGGGGCACCATCTTGTTGAAATCACATTTTCACAAAGTCGTGTTCTTGAGAACTCTCAGAACCCCGACTGAGAAATATGCCTCGTCTCGCTAATGCAACATTTTCTTTTGAAAAAAACAACACCGTCTACTGCAGTCAACTGCTTGAAGTTCAAGCACTCAATCCACGTATGTACGGGAGAGGCCAGCTGGCTTCAGTTGTTGTGCTAGCTCGACTTTATATGGATGTAGGCGCAATTCTAGATGCAAGAAACGCCGTAAAC